CAGGAATGGAGAAAACTAGACCTCCCAAATCTCATCATATCTATCTGGTGGCCAAGGCTTATGTTATGTGTCATTTTTACAATATGCAAGTCTGCCCACAATCCTTTTTATTCCATCATTCTGCATCTCTTATTGTAATACGATACATCTAAACAAGATGGGCTTTTTATTTATTGATGTATTTTGCAGTATTTTAACGTATGCTTGCCAGAGAACAATGGTCACTGATGATCTGAACATTTGCACATAGCAAAATTACTGTATAGCTCACTGGATCAGTTGCCTTCAAATGAAGCATTTTTAGAAAGACTGATGTGCTTCTTTCAAGAAATGTAACAAAAAAGCAAACGATGACATTTTATAGCATGGGGATTGGGCTGGATTATAATCTGCTAAACTTCAAACTGAAATAAATCTGTTTTAATGGTGCACAAGACTTCATATTCTTTGTTTTGCAATATAGATCCTAACTGCGTATGCTGGTTTTTTTTTTTTCAAAGACTACAATGGGAATCCTTGTACTCAAAAAGTAATATTTCAAAAATTTAAATTTATGACTACAGAGGCCTGGTTCAAGGAAGGAGTTTAAAATGGCATTTAATCAATTCTTCATTTCACTCTCACCCCAAGGTACTGTATGCTGCTCAGTTCTGAGCTGAAGATTCAACCTTTCTGTTGAAGCGCTACCTTGTCCGCCAACAATTCTCTCTAAGTGTGCTGAAATTTACTTCAGAGTACAGAGACAGGGCTCAAGAACAAATACAAAAAAAAGCCCCATTAAATTGGACCAAAGATCACAAAGCACAGCCTTCTACAAACTTGTTATTGAAGCAAAACAACAACAATTACATGCAGTCATAATAAAGCGAGTTATTTCTAGATGTCTTTCTTTAGCCCCTGGCTACATCTTATCAAATATGGGAGGCGATGCATCCTGTGACTACAGGAGTTCCAATTAGACGTAACAGCCAACAACTTCAACACAACGCCTCATTTAATAGAGAAACAGCTTTCAGCAGCAATTTTGTGGAAAAGAATTCCTTGCTTGCTCTCCACATGTCACAGTCACTTGCTGCAGTTACAAGAAGTTTGACAGGAGGCCCACATTTCTGTCAAATGCTGCACCCTCCCTCTCAGGCAGGTCATTTTGTAGGTTTAGCAGAAGGGTGACTTCCAGATGTCTTGGACTACAGAGCTCACAATGCAATGCTAGTTGGTCAGAAGGAAACTGCAGACAGGCACAACTCATGGACCGAACGGAGGGGTGACTCACTCAAAATCTGGAGGAAGCATTCTCCATTCTGGTCATGAACTGCCTATGGTTGCAAGTCAATATCAGAGTTTTCTCAATATCAGAGAACCCACCCCCTCCCCAAAATTGGCTTTTTCAAGTTCCGAGGAGATATCCATTATCTAGCGGGTCAAAAGTTTCCTACCTCAATCCAAAGGAACAAAATTATTTGCCTGGTCTCAACTGTTGTTGACTGGGAAGATGCCTAAACACAGAACATGAGAAGCCAGGCTCCCTTGTCAAGAATGCACAATACATTTCATCTTCAAGGAAGATCAGTCCTTTAAGTTAGACTACAACTTCCCACATATTTTAAAGACATAGGCATTTTTCCTGGCACTTTACCAGGGACAGGTTCTCACTGCTATCAATGGGCAGTATAGAATTTAAACCAGAAATTAAAGCCCACTCTAGGAAGTGATAGCCATCTTTTTCTCTCCAAGGCACTCCATGCAGAGCCATGTGCTAATTCTCATCAGGTAGCTGGGATGAACCCTGTACAGTGTATCTTAATATGCTGAAACACAATTTGTTTGAGTCATTCAAGTTAAGTAAATACCCTTAGAGCACTGGTTTCAATATTTTTTACTACAAGCAATCCTTTACACAGTGCCTATCATGAAAAGTGGACAGAGTGCCTGAAGAACTATGGAAGGAGGCTCATAACATTGCACAGGGGGCAGCAACAAAAACTATCCCAAAGAAAAGGAAATGCAAGAAAGCAAAGTGGCTTTCCAACGAGGCCTTAAAAATAGCAGAGAAGAGAAGGGAAACAAAATGCAAGGGAGATAGGGAAAGTTACAGGAAATTGAATGCAGATTTCCAAAGAATAGCAAGGAGAGACGAGAGGGCCTTCTTAAATGAGTAGTGCAAAGAAATACTGTAGAGGAAAATAGAAAGGGGAAAACCAGAGATCTGTTCAAGAAAATTTGAGATATTAAAGGAACTTTTTGTGCAAAGATAGACATGATGAAGGACAAAAATGGTATGGACCTAACAGAAGCACAAGACATCAAGAAGATGTGGCAAGAATACACAGAGGAATTATACCAGAAAGAACTGGATGTCCTCGACAACCCAGATAGTATGGTTGTGGACCCTGAGCCAGACATCCTGGAGAGTGAAGTCAAGTGGGCCTTAGAAAGCATTGCTAACAACAAGGCCAGTGGAGGTGATGACATTCCAGTTGAAGTATTTAAAATCTTAAAAGATGACTCTGTTAAGGTACTACACTCAATATGCCAGCAAGTTTGGAAAACTCAGCAGTGGCCAGAGGATTGGAAAAGATCAGTCTACATCCCA